ATTTCTCATAATTGACAAGCTGACCTGAGGCTTTACAGTAGGTATTCCAAAATAGATTGCAGCACTTGGCATTCCCATCTACTCACTTGAGCAAATAGAAGGACATCATCCGCAAAGAAAAAGTATGATAAAGTGGGGCAGCCCCGCCGCAGAACTAACCCCTCAAGATGGTTTCCACGATTTCCACTTGAAAGAGCGAGAGAAAGGGCATCAGCAATAAGAACCAAAAGGTACGGGGACAGAGGATACCCTTGTTAGAGTGCCCGAGTAGGAATGAAGCCCTCTTTACTCCGTTGGCAAACATCGAGAAAGATACCGTGGTGACAACTTCCATGACCCACTGAATCCACACTGGACTAAACCCCATTTTGATCAATATTGCATGTAGAAAATCCCATTGGACCCTATCATATGCCTTGTTAAAATCCAACTTTACTGCTATCACGCAGCGGTTGCCTTGCTTTTTGAGCTTCAGGTGGTGAAAAGCTTCGTGGGCAACAATAACGTTGTCTTGAATCATCCTCCCAGGAACAAAGGCCGACTGCTGCAGGGAGATAATCTTCTGGAGGATAGGTTTCAATCTATTTGCCAAGATCTTGGTGATAATTTTCAGATTGAAATTACACAGACTAATTGGGCGGAATTGTGTGAGCTTCACCGGATTCGGGATCTTAGGAATTAAAACCAAGCTGGTATGGTTCCATTCTCTCGAAAGATAGCCATTGATAAAAAAAAAGCTCTGAACAGCTGAACAGACTTCTTTTTCAATCACATCCCAGTACTTTTGATAAAAAATTTCGGAATACCCATAAGGTCCCGGGGCCTTCAAAGGCCCTCACTGAAAAACCACAGCCTTTATTTCAGGATCTATCACTGGCCAGTTTGAAGTTCATATCTGCCGTTACCAACTGCCCAACCGAGATCAAAGCCACATCTAGATTTCTTGGATTATTACCAGTGAATAGCTTAGAAAAATAATCCAGAAAATGCGCATTAATATCCTCATCAGAAGTCAGCTGTTGGTCACTCTCATTAAGAAGCTGAATCACTTGGTTTCTCTATCTTCTCTGGGTAATGGAGGCATGAAAAAATGTAGAATTATGATCCCCACACTGAAGCCAACGCACCCGCGACTGTTGATGTAAAAACATTTCTTCTCTTTGAAGCACATCCGCGAGTTCATCTTGGATTTGTCGCTGGGCTTGAAAATTCTCCATGGATGAAGGCACAACTTGAAGCTTCACTAGTTGGTCTTTCAAAAAAGCAATTCCGGACCTATTATTCCCAAATTCACCCAGACTCCAAGCCTTCAAACCGACCTTGCAAGTCTTCAGTTGCTGGCACAGACTAAACATGGGTGAACCTCGATGCCCAATCCTCCATCTAGATTGGATTACTACCTTGCAGTGAGGTGAAGTCATCCACATGGATTTGAATTTGAAGAGCCTCGGAACTCTTTTTGGAGGGATGCACACTTGTAAGATGAGTGAACAGTGGTCAGATTCAATCAGGGCCTCATGGATAACCTGAGCATAAGGAAATAATTCCCTCCAACTCACTGTGGCCACAGCTCAATCTAACCTTTCCTGGACATTATCAACTCCGTCTTGCCGGTTAGTTCAAGTGAAAGCTGGGCCCTTGAATTCTAAGTCCATGAAAGCACAATCGTGCAACACTTTCTGAAAATTGGGTCGTGAACCCCTTTCTTTTTCCCAAACCGACCCATAATCATTAAAATCACCTATATAAAGCCAAGGTAATTGATTCTCCCAGGCAATACGCCAAATGCAATTCCAAAAAACTTCTTGCTGAGAAGCACGTAGAGTGGCATAAATGAATGCTGTCAGCCATTTGGTATTAAGCATTGAAATGACAGAACACAAAATACCCCCACTTTTTGACATGACATCAATATCCACCTCATCCTGCCACCACAAAGCTAGGCCACCAGCAGTTCCAACGGGATCAACATAACAAGAATTTGGAAACTGAAGACGTCGACGAATCCTTTTCAAAACACCCACCTTATTTTTTGTTTCCATCAGAAAGACCACACCAAGACGATGGGTTGTGTACAACCCTCAGAGGATCTGGACTGTCAGAGGTCGCCCAATCCCCTGACAGTTCTAGCTAATGATCAGCATTGCTGTCGTGGCTATTGACGGCCAGCCACCAGAGCCTTATCAAAATCAAAGCAACCTTTTTCAACTGGGAGTGTACTTGGTACCTGAGAAACACAGTCCAGCTCCTCCACACCCACTGAAGTATCAGTACGAACCTCCATATCAAACAAGTCAGTGAGCCCATGCTCCAGTTGCGTCTTCCGACCCCCCTTTGGCGATCTACCTACTCTGTCTTTCCTAAGGAAATGACGAGCAATTGAGAAAAGGTTAAGGGGAGATTGAATTCCAGAAAGGTAGCTGGGTCACGTTTCTGAAGCTTGGACGACGGTGTAGTTAGGTGGTGTTCATCACAAATTTTCCGTTTTAAGGATAACTCACCAAAGACATTGGTTAGGGTAGTGTCAGGAATGGATTGAAGGGCTTTAACTAGGGTCAAAGGCCTGGATGAGGGAGGTGGGATAATTAAGTGTTTTGGTGAAGAGGACGGGCTAAAATGTTAATAAAATATAACTATATTTTACACACTTGTTCTTTTTTCTTTCTAAATTTCTATTCAAATATATGATTCAAACACAACCATAAAAATTCAAAAATTTTGGATTTATCATACAGGGCTATTAATTCTTGAACTATTTAATATATTATTTGTGAGCATTACTTTTAAAATTATTATTTAAATTCATGATTAATCGTAGTGCACTTGAAGTGTACCCAACAATTCACACTCTCCTTTTTACTTACGAACTAATACACTTTCTTGTATAAACTTTAAAATCTACTAGCTTATAAAAGCATTGAACTTGTCTAGTTCTTTATAATAAAAGTATAATAGTTTTTCACACGATATAAGAAGTTAAATGTGATTGGTTATTAAAAAAATAATGATACTTAAACATCCAATGATGTGGTGACATGTATATTTCTAATAAAATTGTTAGTAAAAATTTAAGTACATGTAACATTACTCATAACAGTATCTATTTTACATTCCTATCCAAGTAAAAGACTTTCTAAACTTAAATCTTAGAAAATTCTCTTTCTAATATTTATGTCCTAGTTAGTCCATAAGATATTCTTGTATTCTAGTAAGTACTATTATTTTGGACATTTGATTTATCAAATCCTAATTCTTATATTTAATGTATTTTATGAACAACTTTACCCTTACAAATATTTTTTAAACCCTTATTTATCAATATATATATATATATATATATATATAATTGTGAACCCTTAGCAACTTATGATGTGAACATTCACATTAAATAAATTTGACACTATGAATATTCCCGTTGACAATGTGAACATTAATGCGCGCTTCACTTTATTATTATTTTGATAATTATGCCATTTATAGGACTTATTGGAATATAAGAAAATAATTTGTACCAAGTGGAACATATGTAGGTGAAGAGAGATTTATGAATAAATTTTCTAAAATTATTTAAAAATATATGTGAAATTAAGTTATATTTAGAAAATATATATATAGAATTTTTAGCTCTCAGCCATGTGAAAGACAAAAAAATATTCTTTATTAGCAAATATGAGCTTGTTCCTAAACATTATATAAAATTAGAGAATACAAGTGTCTAAATTAGATACGGGTGTCAGACACATCTCACACTCATAAAAATGATCACTTGAAACCTTGCTACTTTTTAGTGAAAGTGGATGATTAACATAATTTTTTTATATATATTATTTAAATCTAAATATATTCAAGGGTTTCAAAAGGAAAAAAATATAAAATAGTGATGTAGAAATAAATTTCCTCCACTAATCAGGAATGTTAGTCAAGGTAGCAATATTGGTCTAACAAATTTCTAACTTTCATCAATTTTGGAGAACAATTATATGCATTCAGACACAAATCTCTTACATAACCCTTGTGAGATGAAAAGAAAAATAGAGTATAAGAAACTTAAATTTGAGAGTGCATAGCATTATCTTATTTATAGGTCATGTTCTTTTTAAATTTCATCCTAAATAACATATTGAAAGGGCTTGATGAAAAACCAAAATTATCACCAATGAAGATGCCAAATAAAGTATGAAGTTCATGTGCTGCTTGGAAATTGTAACTGTAAAGCCACTAATCTCCCATGTGTTAGAGGGGAGCTTCTAAATACACCCCCTCCCCTGGCCACGCCCCAAACCAATTCCTTTAGCAAAGCCACTAGTTGTGTGCATGTGATTGGGTGTATTTAGAAGCTCCCGTTTTTGGAGCCAAACTTTCCTTTATTATACTTTTTATCCTAAAAACTAAGAAACATTCAAGAAACCTCCATAATTCTATCGTAGATTGGTGGTTGTGTGCGCGTGATTGGGTGTATTTAGAAGCTCCCATTTTTTGAACCGAACTTTACCTTTATTATATTTTTTTTATCCTAAAAACTGAGAAACATTCAAGAAACCTCCATAATTCTATCGTAGATTGGTGGTTTTCCCAGACCACGTGTGATTTTTTGGCGGATTTTATAATTTGTTGTTTGTAATTGGAGTAGGCTTTCTTGTTTGGTCCTTTGGAATTTTGTTGTTGTTTTTCTTTTGAACTAACAACTTTATAATTTTTCTCAAAAAAAATAATTATGCCCAAATCCACTTGTATGTTTTTTTTGTTTCCCTTCATCTACTCATATTAATCAACTTCATGTATATAGAAAATCTTCTATCATAAGAGTATAGTAAGTTGTGGCTCTTACGAACCATGTTGCCCCAAATGGTAGTTGCAACTCTTATGCACCATGCTGCCTCAAATGGTGCTTGCGAGTTCTGGTGTTATTTTTTTCTCCTTTTTTTTTTCTTTTTACATTTTTGCATATTAGTTTGTCAATCAAACTAGTCTAAATTTTTATTTGTATTCTTGTGTTGTAGCAGCAACAAGAAGAACAATTGCAACAGGACCTGCAGCAACAAGTGAGATTCTTTGCATTTCATTTTTCTAAATCATTCCTATGAGTAGTTTGTCTATAAAAAAATTTGCACTTCCTTTTTTTATTATTTTTATTTGTATTTCTTGCAGCATGAAAGGCAGACCTAGCGTAGTGGTAAAGCTACCTCTTGGTGACTTGGTGGCCACGGGTTTGAGTCGCGGAAACAGCCTCTTTGCTTGCAGGGGTAAGGTTGTGCACATCAACCCTTTCCTAGACCCCACTTAAGCGGGAGTTTTGTGCACTGGGTACACCCTTTTTATTTCTTGCAGCATGAGGTAGGTGAGGAAGGAGGAGAAAATGAAGAGACTAATAACAACAATGATGATGGTGGTGATATGTACAAGTAGGATGGAGATAGCCATAATTAATGAACATGAGGATGACTTTTGATGATAATGATTGTAACAATGCTCAATATTGTGATTATAAGTTCTCTAAACATTTTGAATACAAAGTGTGTATTAAAGTATCTTTCATCGATATTATTTTCCAAGCAAGAAAAAAATATTGGTGTCTTGTGCCTTCTCTAAATCATAATTCTCAGTTTATAGTTATATTTCTCAGGATAGAATATGAAATATCTTCATTTTCTTCCAATTTGATAAACCTATTATGACTTTTTTTTTTTATTACATTGGTGATATTGTTTAACTTTTAAATTAAAATTCTATTTATGAACATATTATTATTTATTACAAAGTACATAGAGTATATCTAGCATATCATATAGTGATAGTCATAAATGTGTAGGTATTAAATAACTGGTTGGTTTGTACCCAATTAAAATCGTATTTGTGTCATGCAAGCATTGAATTCAAAATGTTTAAATGCAAGTCTTTAAATTGATTCATAATGATGTAGATTGATAACTTTGGGTTGGAGAAAAGCTAGATCCTTTTGGGTTTCAATAATTTGTTGCAAGCTTCAGGCCTCGTTTGGGAACCCTCTCTTTTAGCAAAAAAATCAAAAAGTTACTAAATTAGCAAAAAAATCAACAACTCATACCAAAAAGTCAAAGATTCTCTTTTCTCTCTACTTTTTTCATATCTTTTCGTAAAAAGTAAAAAAGTTATCCCAAACATACTAGTTTTTTTTAGCTCATATTTTAGTCAAATAGCCAAAAAAGTTACTAAATTAGCATGTTCTCAAATGAGGCCTCAGTCATTGAATTGAAAGTGTACATTATGACAAACTTTCTTGAAAAGTTGTTTTGGGTCACTTTGTCCCATTAGTAGATTTGATTAATTTGTTTGGTACTCTTTTCACTCCAATTAGAGTATGTAAATATCACATATAACCTAGAAACCAACAAATTATTACCTAGTCTTGCAATCACTATGATAAAATGATTGACAGACTATTCACTATTGATATGTTTCCCCATACTTTTTTAGCCATTGTGGAGTGAATCCTCCATCATAGGGATAGAAATCATCAAATACAACTTGTATATATTTGGGCTATAAACCACCTATTATTCATGGATGAAAAGTTATTCTTCTATAAAGCTAATAAGGGTGACGCTTGCAAAATCAAGAAGATCGTTGGGTCAAATGATAAATAGTAACAGGTCAGTTTTGTTTTTCAGTAAGAACACTCCAAAAGAGTCATAGGGAAGTACAAGAAGTATTGAACATTCCTGGGAAGGCTAAATTGGGTAAGTAGTTTGGACTTCCTATAGACTTTGGTAAATCTAAGGTGGAGCTCTTCAATTACATCAAGGAGAGGGTTCACTTGCATTTAGTGGATTGGAAACAATGTTTTCTGTCTCCAGCTGGGAGAGAGATCATGGTCAAATTCGTGGCTTTTTCTCTACCAATGTATGCTATGGGTTGCTTCAAAATGTCCGTCTTTTTGTGTAGGTTTCTTACTTCTTCTATGGCAGCGTATTTGATGGGACAAGTAAAGGATGAACGTCGAATCCATTGGCTGAAGTGGAGCAAGTTGATGACAAATTTAAATGGAAGGGGATTTAGAATCTAGGATATAGTGGCTTTTAATTTGGCAATGCTTGCCAAGCAAAAAATGGTGGTTGATCTAGGATAACAAAAATAGTTTGGTTGCTACAGTCCACCAAGCTAGATATTTGGAGGGTCATCATTGCACCACTTGATCAATAAGATTAGGATTGAATGGTGGAGGGAGGTAACACGTGATTTTTTCCAAACTAATGACATTGATTGATCCTAGGAATGCCACTACCTATGGTAGGACAAGCTAGTCTGGCTTATACCCATCTAGAATGTACACTATAAATTTGAGGTACGAAGTGGTGATCATGTTGAAGCGCAACAACTGGTTAGGTTTAAAAGGGGAAGGGGAATGTAATGATCGAGATGAACATATATGTTTTTGAACACAGTTATGGAGTACCTGTACCTTGGGCAAAGTTGAACATTTTCTTTGGAAATGTGTATGGGATATTGTTCATATTAGAGGGGCCTTGCAGCAGAGTAACTGAAAACAATTATGCATTTGCTAGTCCAATGCTCATTTGCTTGGGTAGTGTGGTTTGCCTCTTTACTTTGGTGGGGTGATTGGGGCGTGGATTGTAGATCCTTTTATCATTGGTGAAAGCAAATTTTAGCAGAGTGCAATGTTGTGCAAGAGGGACAACGAGTGATGGCTTACCTTGCATCCATTGCCTAGGGAATTTGGAGGGGGTAGAGATGAATGCATATTTCATAATGAATAGTGTGATCCTATATAAGTTATGCAACATACCATAGCCAGGGCCAATGAATTTTTTTAGCCTCAAGTGAAGGCTAAAAATAGAGTTAGGGAAAAAGGGTGAAGGATGAAGCTGAGCTACATTGTGGATGGAAAGCGCAAGAGGATGGATGGGTGAAGGTGAATTTTGTTATAGTCGGGTTGCAATGTCAAAAAAGAAAGTGGTAAGAATTTGTGTTGGCAAGCTTGTTAAAGCTCGATCGTTGCGAATAAAGAACTGTATCAATTCAAATGGTTCAAGGTTTAGTACTTCAAATGGCAGTCCTCTTAGCCAAAGATTCCTAAATCCAAACAGCCATGTTTGAAGGAGACGCCCAAAAGCTCATCAAGATGGGATTCATCAAGATGTAGAAGTCCTCATTGCAAATGTTTTGCATTTGTGACCGTCATTTTAGCATAAACAATGGCCCACAAGTTTGCCAAGTTTGGTTTGGGTGGGGTAGGTTGTTGCAAATGGGACACCACCCCTCATCTGTGGACTATTGAGGCCCTTAGGGGTGATGGAAGTCTTTGAGATGGGAACAATAATTATCTATCTATTTAAAGCTATTTTGCAGAAGAAAAACTTTCATTTATTTATTTATATACGCGAAGCCTTAACAAGATGGTGTTGACACAAAATGTCTCATATTTCAAGTTTTCCTAAAAATACCCTTAGAGTTGGTGTTTGTGTAAAATTAATGTTAAGAGTATAACTAGACTTGAAACTATGATTATAATTTCGGTAAAGAAAACTCTTACCACTTAAACAACACATAATTTGTGTGCATTTTTCTGCCATTATTCTTATACTATTATTATTTTTTTTTGAATTGCACACGTGTATAGACTGTTAGTGTATGTATATATATAATAGCATTTTGACATGAAACAATAAAACGTTTTTCACACGAAAAACAAAAAAAAGCCGCTAAAAATGTTCTTTTATTGCCATTTGTTCTATAGTTAAAACAACTATGTTCGCTCATCTCTAATCTCTCTTGTACAAATTAAAGAAAAGTGGAATATAAATGACTGGTTAGGAAGAGTGACTAGATGAGAAGCCTCTCTATGCCTCCGTTTGGGAAGTGGGTTGGCTTTTTGGCTTTTTGGCTTTTTGGCTATTTTAGCCTGGGCTATTTTAGCCTGGTTTGGGAAGGGCTTTTTGGCTTTTTGACTTTTTTGGATTTTTTTGTGAGAGAGGATTGTAATGATTATGGGTTGGATTTGATGTTTTGTTTTTTGTGGCTAAAATAGCCTATTTTGTTTTTTGTGGCTATTTTAGCCAAAAAAGCCTGGGCTTTTTCTTGCCAAACGGAGGCTATATATACAATGAAAGAAAGCACCCAAGTTGTTGCAAGGGAATAGTCGTCCTCCTATTTAGACCTGCACTTTGTAGCTCGACTTTTTCGTACCCCCTTTCGGAAGACGAATAGCCCTACAGTTCAGACTCTACCTGTGATTCTGAATCTAATTTCACAAGTGCAATGTGAAATAGTGAAAACACAAAAAGAGTCCAAATCCAACTATTTTATTTTGGAAAATCAATGTTTTAAATGAAATGTCAAAAATGGACTGCTTTGCCAGATTTCAGAGTCGCCACCTAAATATTTTGTTTTGGAAAATTTAGGAAACCCTAGACTCGTGCCAAAGGCCACTTATCCGTTATCACCAAAGTGTCTCGGCTCAGGAACTTAGGCACAAGAGGGAAAGGTCATGAATTGGGCACCCACTCGCCCGATCAAAGATCAGCCTCTATTAATCATGATGTGATTTTTATTTACATTATATGCTCTTGTTCCAATTATTAGTCTAACTTTGCTATGTGATGCATACAAGTATAGACTAATTTTGCAAACATTGGAACACTTGATTCACGTTTGTTTTGAAATGGTGTTTTGAATATGTACCACTTGAAAAAGTGATCGCATATGAACATTACTCAAATTATTCCAATTCAAGCAAATAGCCTTCATCCACATGCATTCAAGCAATTTATCAATTAAGCAGTTAGCCTTATGGCAAGCATGCTAATCACACTCATGCAAAGTGCTAAAGCAAATAAAAGCTTACCTCGTACTCCAAGCCAAAAGAGAAACTAGTTAGAAAAATGCATGATTCCTATGCAACATGACTAATGCAGTACATATGATATGCAATTACTAGGTTCAGCTACTAATTTGGCATATGGATCAATTTGATAGTGAAAAATCTAGAAATCCGCTAGTTATTGATTTATGATTATGTATCAATTTAAAGTAATAAAACAATCCCAATCAAACAATCAAGACAAATCGACACAACGATTTTAATGTGGAAAAAACCACAATTGGAGCACCTCCAATTGTGATAAAAAAAACCACGGGCAACAGCCACAAAACAATCCACTAAGAAGATATAAAGAAATTACACAGGTATACTCTCAATTACCTAGCGAATCCATGCCCAAATTGAACCAACCCCTATGTGTCTCTTCTAGCCTCGTCTTCACCTCGGAATTGTCTTGACGATGAGCCACTCCAGAATCCACCAAAGCTTCAGGCTCAAATTCTTCACAATCTACCGAAGAACAACTCTCTCTTTTGTATAGAATGAACAAACAAACCTTTGATGTATTCTTCTTAACCCATGAGTTGAATACTCAATTAAACATCAAAGAAAACTAGCAAAATATCCCCAGATATAAATCTTAATATCCAAAAAGAAGATCTGGAGTAGTAATTCTAGTTTTGGACTAAAACAAATACTTATAGAAATCTGGGACTGCGAAGCTCGCTCGAGTGAAGACTCTCTCGCTCGAGCGAGGAACTAATATCATGTGACCTTTGCTCGAGCGTACATTAATCCTTCTCAGGTTTT